GCTGAGGCCCGAGGGGGCCGTCGCCGTGCGGTGCCGGCCGTGCCGAGGCTGACAGTTACGGAGCAGGCCGGGAAGCCTCCCGCTGCGCGAAGACGCGTCCTTGCAAAGTTCCCAAGTGGCAGGGCACCGTTTGAGGGTCTCGGGCAGACATAGCTGTCCCGCGGTTAGCTGTGGTCTGGCTGAGAGGGTGGCAGTGGGAGCGGCCCCACTCCTCTGCCTGTTGCTGAGGCCTGTGTTTCTCTCCTGTAAATCTAAGGTGCCTTCATGAATAATTTAAATGACCCTCCCAACTGGAACATCCTGCCAAATCAGCGAGAGCCCGGGGATGAGGGCAGCAGATGGAACTACGCCTTGCTGGTCCCCATGCTGGGCTTGGCCGCCTTCCGTAAGTAGTGCCCAGGCCTGTCTGCTGAGCGGGAGTGTGTGGCTGTGCTCCCGCATCTCACCTGCCAGCCAAAGGGGAATCTCCGAAGCTGTACGGTGATAAAGTATACCCCACTTAGAGATTTCCTCTGGTCTGTTCACTTCTAATGTTATAAACAAGCACTGCTTATAGCGTTAAGGCAACGGCCGTTTTTCACACATGGGATTGAATCCATATTTAATAAGCTTCAATTCACAAAGCCTCTCAGAAGAGTGGACGTATGATATGCTAGAAAGCCCAAAGCTAACAACCCAAGGAGCTGCTGATGTATGTTTATTTACTGGACCTGAGAAGTTCTCAGTGCAGTTCCTCCATTGGAAACCTCCAGTTTGTTTCCCCATAACTTTATTTTCCTTCTTTCATCCAAGAACTGTGTGTATTAGCAATAAAAGACTAGGGGAGATTTTACTTCAAAGGAAACACAATTGTTTAAAGTGACGTGCTGTGAAACATGGACCCACAGAAATACATTTTGTGGGATGTGTGAATAGAAGTGAATATCACTGGGGAGGGTGAGAAAGTAAGGTCTTTTTACCAATTAATAGCTTCTTTAGAAGCATAGTTAATTAACATGTATAACATTGATGGGTATGATTATACTCATGTCTGAAGTCTCATTTATGTATGGTAGGTTGGATCTGGACCAGAGAATGTCAAAAAGAAATAGAAAGAGAAAAAAATGAATATTATAAAAAACATTCATCTTTACAAAGAGACCTGGAAGCCAAATACCGGGATATAATCACAGAAAATCGTCGCACAGTTGCTCACTTGGAGTTGGAGCTTGAAAAGGAACGCAACAGAACCCTGAGTTACCGTGAAGCCCTGGTGTCCCAGAGTCGCAAACTAGTAGAAGAAAGAAGGATCCTAGAACAGGAGCAGGAGAAGTTAGAGCGAGAAAAACAAGTCCTTTTGCACTCAGGAGCAGCAGGTAACTTGTACCAAAGGTGTCTGGCAAAGGAAGAAGAGTGGCAAAACAGAGCCAATATTTTACTAAAAGAATTTGAAGAGGGACTTAAAGTAAGACAGGACATCTACTGCAGTCTTGTTGTACCCAGAAGCCAGAGACTGGAAATAGAGAAAAATCTGCTAGTTAAAGCGGCAACTGATCCTGTTGCTGTGGCTGTACATATGGAAAGTGGCTTGAAAGATATTTTCAAACATGATAACTACTGTGGCAATCTGCTGAACAGAAACAAAAGTCAAAATGGAAGACTTATGTGGCTGTATCTGAGATACTGGGAACTGGCAATTGAACTACAAAAGTTCAAGAGGGCAGAAAAGGCCATGTTAGGAAAACAATAAGTGGAGGAAGTAATGGGATTTCGTGTGATCCACTGTGCATAGTAGGGACAATCACAGTTGTAGTCTGGAGCTGTTAAATTCTACTGTGTTTCCCTTTCTCCTCCTCGTTGCACTTCTGTTTGCATGGGACATGTGCAGTGTTGGTGCCTTTCCTTTCACTAACAGCAAATGCTCCAGTGAGCTATGCATGCTCTTAAACTCTGTGAGCGTGTTTGTATTGCAAACTGCAGTGTAGTATAGAGATATGCCAGCTTCCATAGCTATCAGGAGCAGCAAAACAGAACTCAGTTTTGAGTGATTTATCTAACTGATGGTCATACTCCATCAACAGAGAAGTGTGATTTGTCTCCCCCAAGTGGCGTAGAACATTGTACTCCTTATTCCTGATGTTTTACATGGTGTCTCAATGCTATCTGTTTGTTTGTTTAAGCAAGACATTTTGAGACAGGTGTTTGGAAGAGACCGTGTTTGAGCAAGGTGCTTGTCACATAAATCCTATGTGTGTATATGTACATTTATATACATATATGTATGTGTGAATGTGTGTGTATATAAATGTATGTATTCTGAGGGGTGGAATAGTATGATCATGTTTCAAATTAATCAGTCTTGCATTATCTTCCACCTTAATATACAAGTAGTACTTTGTGAAGGAAACATCCAAAAGATGCTAATTATAATAATACCTGACGAAACAGATTGATGAAAGTCTAATTGAGCTAGGAATCCATGCGTGAATACTAGGGACTGTATAAACTCGAAGTTATATAGTCTCATAATACTGGAGATATGTTAAGAATACTTCGTTTTTCTCTCAGTCAGGGTCTTAGTTGTAACCCAACAGTGTGCCTCCATTATAGACGTCACCATGCTGCTGCCTCTGCATCCCAGTGCACTGACTGCTATCTGGTTAGCTTGCAGGAACCTCTGTGGGTTACAGCCATTGCACCTGGCTCTGTTCCTTGGACAGGTCCTGTTTGTTATTCACTGATAAGACCTGAAATGCAGCCTGCACTGGTAGCCACTACCTCCCTCCCTGATTGTCTCAGTTCTCCCAGAACTGAAGCATGCATTTCCACAACTCTTAAATTTTGAGCTTATGGTTCACCACTTTGTGTACACATGACCATGAATGCCTATGGATATACAAGCTTTGCAGACTTTTAAGAAAGGAGGCTTTCAACTGTAGTTAACACAGTAAAATAAATAGATCTAGATATTAAAAAAAAATACCCCAGTGCATTTCCATGCTTGAAATCTCTTAAAACTTTTGCATATTCTTTGGGTCCTTGTAGCAGTAGGAACTACCTTCTTTTTCAAATGTGCCATAACTTTTTTCTTCCTCCTTTCTAATCCAACCTTAGACCTCAGAGAGGCAGTGTTTGCCCTTTTGTTTATAACGTCTGGTCTTCTCTGTTCCTTGACTTTGATTAGTGTTAGTAGGTTGTCAGTTCTTTAATTAAGAGTTCTTCATTTACTGAGGACTAGACTTGACAAACACATTTGCTCTAGGCAATCAACTACTGCATAGCCCAGAAGCAATCCAGCTAAGTAAATGCTCATCCAAGTTTAACAGAGAACTCCAGCAGATGTGGGGTTTGCTCTTACTATTTTCTTCTGGTTTCGTTTCAGTCTGGGCACAGAAGACAGCAGATAAATCTTCTGAAGTAGCGTGTGCAACCTAATCCAGTTACTCAGCAAAAATATCTAACATGAAATAAAATTCTTAAGCAGAATATGTTTCCCAGCTAGTCTGCTTTCCAGTTGTGATTTTGCTTACCTTGGTGGTTCCAATTACACTATCCTATTGATTTATTAGTCTCCTATGTACTGATTTATTTTACTGATTTTTTTTAAATACAGTTTTAGTAGACAGACAGACCTGGGGGGGTGGGGGGGAGGTGGAGCAGGGAGGAAGAGATACTATCAATCACAAACACCAGAAAGGCCAAAACTTGTTTGGATGCCATACATATGCAGGTTGGGAGATGAGCATGCAATTGAGTTACTACTGATGTGTGACAGCCTGAGCCAAGCTGCTGTAGCTGGCCATATGCACATGTCCTAATTGCCTAGTAGAACAAATTAGTTTGAGCAACTAATTACCCTGTGTGTAATTCCTCCAGGATGTGAAAAATGTCTAACCACACGGCCATGATGCATTTTGTATGTGCGTACAAGCAGTTGTTGAGCAACTTGGGTGGCAAATGGCACCCAGTGAATCAATGCCAATGTATTTAAGACTCATACCTTGACTTTGTACATGCTCATTAGTTCTTAAAAGATCAAACGTTTTATGCTTTTTCAGTTTTTTCATAGTTTGTCCCTGACATCACTCAAAATGTTTAAAGAAAATGTAACAAAGAGGGCAAAATACTTTTTTCAGTATAGATATGTAAGTTGAAGCATCATATGCTCAATTGTACAGGGTTGGATGCAATGTAATAAATGTTTTATACTCACTTTTACTTCTTTAGAAGTGTAAATTATTTGTACAACTAATTGTTGAACTATTGTTCATGGATACTTTGCAGATCAGTATGTTAAGACTGAAGAGTTACATGAGGAGGATTTTTAAGTGTGTAACTGGTTTGGAAGCACCATTCCTGTTGGTTTCTGCCAAAACCCATGTTTGTTGGCATGTTACGTATTTTTTTTAAACACTTCCCCTTTGTAGGTTGTTATGTTGAAAGTTGTATTGTGAACTTTTATCTTGCCCAACAAATATTGTTCTGGATTGGTTATTTGTTTGGAAATGCCCGTGTGTTTGTAAAATGCCAGAATAATTTGTTCTCAGAATATTTAATGAACTTTTTTTGGTTATGAAAATGGCCACTCACCTGTTAAACGCTAACAATTAATAAAAACCCTTACATATTTCTGCACTGTTTTGTAACATGGGAAAGATGGGTGGGAGGAGTGGAATTTGCTACTTTCTTCCAACTTACAAAACACATTGCACAATTTTAAGGTTTTACAAATTGGACAATTTTTAAATCAGTATGTAAAAAGTTTTGGTCTTTGTGCTGAGAAAAGAATATATTGGAAAGTTGTGGGTTTTTTTTTTTTTCTTTCTTAAGAAAGAATGGCATCATTAAACAGATAATTGCACCAGCTTTAGCTAAACATGAGTGATTAAAGATGACCATTCCACTGAAAGACTGGGGTAATTCCTTCTGTCTGTTATGTAGGGCATTCTGTCTTCTTCCACAATCCCTCAAATGTCTCATTCTGCATGTCAGCAGCTCCTTTTCATTTCCCCATGTGGATTTGCTCATTTTCCTGTTTTCTGTGAAGAACTACAATCCACTGCTCTAGGATAGTGTTCGGACACTCTGGGAATCCTTGTTCCCATCATAAAAGATCATTAATCTCTTGGTATTTGACACAACCCTTTGCATTTACCCATCCCTCATCTTCACATGGAGAATGCCATCCTTATGAAATACTGGAAATGAAGAGGACAGTTTGTTATCAAGCTGAGAATAAGAGCTGGTATTAGATTTGGTATTATAACTTCAGTTTAAAATTACCACACTGTTCAAGTTTTGGAGTTTGGGGGTTCTTTTTAATGCGCATACTGTTCAGGTGGGTCACACATCTGTGGGTTGTAGCCTTTCCTGAAAGTTCGTACTGGGCAGGTGGAAGAGGCGTCCTAGGGCTGCTATGGAGGGCAGTGGCTGTGTTAATGTGACTTTCCACACGTAGACACAGGCAAGGAAATGCCCCGAGACATCTCATGCTTTCAATAAAAGCAAAAAAACGTTCTGTTTGGTGTGCCTGTTGTGTGATACAGCCGCTGTCCTGAATGCATGCAACGCACAGACACAAGACGCACTCTAGACTTTGTGGAACTTGGACTGGGCCCTAGAAAAGGGAAATCATCCTTAGAAAATGCTTCTGACGGGGGGTGGGTAAAGAGGAGCAGCGCAGAGGGCCTGGCCTTCTCTTGCTCATTTTGCCTCAACAGGAGCTGTCAGAAGACCGCTGATGCAACGACATGTCTTAGTCAAAGGGATGCTGCGCTCTGCGAGTGACAGCTCTGTTCAAGCCCCCCTTTCCCTCTTGCTCATGCTTTTGAGGGCTCCTACATGAGGATGAGAAAACAGTGAGAGTTCCTCTGTGGGGGTTACAGAGCAGAAACTGTGGTCAGCTGTTCTGGTATTGTGGCAAAAGAAAAGGAATTTAAGTTATAGCAGTGACAAAAGGATGAAATTCAAGATTACTCTATAGTTACAGTTATGGTGCAGGTGGATATGAAGGCTTTGCCTGTGTGCATGCCAAGGACGCGTAGTCATTGACTGCCTGGTCCAGGAGCTCTCCAGTTTATCACTGCATAGCTGTGACAACAGGCAGATCTGCAAAGAAGTAACTCACTGAAATTTAGGGTAGCTTGGCAATGAGGAGATCAACTGATGTGCCAGCCACTTCACAACAAAACAACGGACTGAATGCTTCAGGAGCTCTCCCAGCAGCTGGGGCTAAGCCAGAGATGTCCCCAGGGAGCTACTGCTGACACACAGGACCTCTGCTCCGTAAGCTGATAGATGCTATCTGTATGTTTAGATGTATTGCTTAACCATTTGGGATGAAGGATCCAGTGCACAGCCAGGGGTTTCCCCAGGCAGTTCCTGTTGTTGATTAAGCAATTGACCAAACCATGAATAATTTTATGTAAGTGATGGAAATTTTTATTGCCTATGCAAGAATGGGCACACAGGACTGTCTTTTGCTCATAGTTAACGTCTTTCTTACGTGTTTTAAGATAATCAATAAAAACCGATCATGCATACATTGTAGTGGTCACATAGGTCCACAGGCCAGCTGGATTATAAGAATTCACCAGAACAACAGTTTGGGGAGTCTCAGTCCATCTAGCTGAAGACACCATTGAGGGATGTTTGTAACATCAGCATCAGCACTCGAATTAATGGCTGGCAACACGCGTACTGGGTAGTATCAAGGAACACAGAACTATTTTGATACTGAAATCAACTTAT